AATCTTGCAACAATGATTGTAGTTAGTGAAAAGAAATATAAATCTGAATATTGGTATTAAGTAATCGTAATTTTTACTTTTCGCTAAATCTTTCTGCCCTAGTTTTAAATAAGATAAATCAACTTCATTATGTTTTTTCAAGAGCATTGTATCTAATTATCTTATCATAAGGGTCAAAATACTCATTACTTTGGTAAATCATCTTATTTGCCTCTTTAAATTAAGGGCAAATACACTTACTTTAGAAAATAATTGCTTTTTTACTGCAGTATTTTGCACTATAATACTAAATCAAGTTCTTATGACAATATGGCAGAAAACACAGCAACAAATCCATTGGACTGGTGTACGTATTTAGATAGGATTACCGGTACAGTTTTTTATCTATTACATCAGGAGTCTGTAACCTTGTCTTTGTGGCTCACTTAATATATTAAACAATTGATAGGTACCCTATTTTATTTATCAAATATGTTTGTTATTCTTTTTTTCTGTGCTTCCATAAAAAAATAATAATAATGATAATTACTGGCCACACCCTGGCGTGGCAACTGTTATAAACTTCAACTAGAAACACCACTCCTGAGAGGTATTTCAACATGTTAATATACTGCAGTCATCACAGCTGTAACTACAGTCTTTAGATAAAAACTCTGGATATAAAAGGTTGCCCCCCCCTCTTCTTTGCAAAATATACCAGTTGATTGCATTAACTCATTGACTCAAAGGCAATCTATCACAATAAGCATGATTGTAGCGACAATGGAGAGGAAAAACTCCCTTTTATCTGGAAGGAACCTTCAGGAGAACCCAGCTCAGTGTGAGCGACCATCTGCCGAGGCCGACTGGGGTTCAAAGAGACAGAAGCAGAGATATGAAAGGCAACTGTAAAAGACGGTGCAGTCTAGGAAACAGCCAGGAAGGCAAGCTCACAGCCAGGTCCCATGTCAGACGATGAAGAGAGCACATCCAGCTAGTCACAGTCAGAGAAACAGAACTAGACTAAAAAACAGGCCGATCTCGAACATCTATAAACAAAAGTTTTGATGGCAGTAGCACAGCTGATATTTCTCTCTAGGATGGAGTCACAGCCAAACAAGAACAGACAAGATGACGCTTCAATGAGAAAAAGCAGAGAGAATGTTAGAGATTGAACTAACAGATTCTGCAGAGTGGGAGAATAGAGATAGAATGAAACAGAATGATGAAAAATGGGTCCCTGTGTCCTCCAGAGGCCTAAGCCTATAGCGGCATAACTATAGAGATAGCTCATAACCTGAGCCACTCTAACTATAAGCTTTATCAAAAAGGAAAGTTTTAAGCCTACCCTTAAAAGTAGACCGGGTGTCTGCCTCACTAAAACTGGTAGTTGGTTCCACAGGAGAGGAGCCTGATAAATAAAAGATCTGCATCCCATTCTACTTGTAGAAATTCTAGAAACGACTAGTAAACCTGCAGGTTGAGAGCGAAGTGCTCTTTTAGGAACATAAGGAACAATCACATCTCTGATATCAGATGGAGCTTGGTCATTTAAGGCTTATATGCGAGAAGGAGGATTTTAAATTCTATTCTTGATTTAACAGGAAGCCAATGAAGAGAAGCCAGGATAGGAGAAAACTACAGTTTGTGGACTACCTGATAGTAAAGAATTACAATAGTTCAGCCTTGAAGTAACAAATGCATGG